AGAGGCGTAGACGCACGTAATACGTGCCCCTGAAAGTGTATAAAGACTAAATTGTTATAAAATTGTGGCAAAATATGGGCATTTGATATACTTCTACTTGCCCCTTAGTGTAAACACACTATGAAAGTAAGCGACCGAAGTTCCGTGTCTGATTTTCTGTTCCAAGGTATTCTGCTAATATGACACACCATAAGCAAGGAAATTATACGACAGAATGTCGGTTCCGTAAATTTAGTGTTTGGAGCGCTATCGTGGTGTAGTGCAGTGTTGTCTAAAGCAGACAACAAAAACAAAGTGTTATTTTAAGGGTTCTGTTATTCCTTTTGAGGCGGGAAGGCGCGGGCCTCGTATAATGTAATGGCATCGCGTATAATGTAATTTCGGCAAATGTGTCATAAGTAATAATTCTAATAGCATTGCAGGCGTAATCAAGACGAAATTCGGTCGCGTTACTTGGGCATAATGTGCTTAGACACTTACACACTCCAGTTTGATCTCAAACTGGGAGAGCCCGTACTATAGTAACCAGAAAGCTTATAAAAATACTCACAATATTTCTAAATACACACATATTATGGATAAATTATAACAGATACAGAACAAATAATTGAGCCAATCACACAATAATTTGTCCTGGGTGGGAGTCGAACCCACGACCTCAGGCTTTGCAGGCTAGACCAACAGGCTAGTCAGTTTATTTACTATTTACCATAGGAAAGTACACAATCCAACATAATGAACTATATCACAAAGCCACAGGACTATACCTTCTAACAAGAATTATTAACAAATGGATATAGCATACATATCACTCTGAACGTACCCTAAGTATTCCCACGCTCCAGTTGAGCCAACTGCGTGTGTTGAGCAATGAGCGCTAAAATGTTTCTTTTAATTTAATGTGAACGATATAGTTACGTTCTTCGATTAATAATATAAGTGATATTGATGATACAATTCGTATATGATGATGAAAGATGGCGTAATCAGAGCTATGTATGTCGAAAGTAAAAGGTTCAATTAAAAAAACGGAATGTGTTCCAATCTATTATAAGTTCAAGACGTCCTGAAGCGCCACCTAACAGCATGTGACATTCCATGTGAGGACTGGTAAGAGCTCGCTCAACGACGATCTGAGTGGCGACTGACCGTCCATCAGGCTATTGAGCAATATGAGGCAACCTTGAGCATGGACTCTAAACGGTGGATAACTCAGCAAGTCAACTGCACTGTGTGTCATGTGACAGGACATTTAAGACCAAATTCGGGTTCGCCAGTCATGTCCGCGCCCATTATAGAAATCTACAGTAAGGTTCGCCATCGACGGATGCGTCGCGGAGGACATCATTATAAGTTACGGCATAGACAAGAAATCTTATTCTTAACTCAACTTATAATTTTTAAAGTTCTTTAAATTTTGCTTCATCAAATATTCGTTTTTATCTATAGAAAAGATTCTTATTTTGAAAAAATGCATTCTCCCTTGAGATTCAATGAAGCTTGAATTTTTAAGAATTTATTTAGTTACTATACAAAATATTTTGAAAGATTTATTACATGCTGTCAATTATATTTGAAAAAGTACAGAAGTGGTTTTAAAATTGATTCAAATGAAACAAATATAAAGATGTAATAATGTATTCTAGCGGACGTTTTAGCGCACTTGTTATTTTATTAAAGCGCGTTATTCCACAAGCAATTAACATCAATTAACAATGCAGTTAATTAATTAATAAATGACTACCTATAATAAGCTTCCCATGTCAACTATATTCGACCACCAACATATGAAGTGTACTGCAACTACATATTTGAGTGCAATTTTGCTTTGTAAACGTAAAACGACTGTAGTGGTTTAAGCGGTCGCCACGCCACTTACTACTACGCTAAGTGCTGTGGGTCCGATCCCCACATGGTACTTATGTGATTCACAAATTGTTGTTCTGAGTCTGGGTGTTATTTGTGTCCGTTTCATGTATGTTTGTAAAGTCCCCGCGACTCAGGATATACTTATTTCTAATGATCTTCATGAAATCTTTTAAAAAAAGTAAATCAAATTTGTTTTATTAAATTAAGTACCACACTTTTTTGTCATTATACCAAGTTGAATAACTGGTTCAGGAACCAACTTAGAAAAACAAAATAGAGTGAATTGTGGTATTTTAGCGGTTTGAAGGCAAAGCAATTGTGATTTTTGAGTTTCGAGCGTCCGTAAGCGGTGGTAGCCATTTTGTTTTTATTTTTTCATTCATTGTGAGCGTGTCTATCTGAAAACAGAAGATACGACAAATAAACAATCTCTGGTTGGCAGTTTAAAACTTTTTTTCGTAAGATCCAGATAAGGATTGCACGACAAATCTTCAAAACTTATCAAATACTAGTTACCTTACCGAAATGTCGACTTTTAACGGGTATTTGATATTTTAAGAGAATAGGACGTCATTTCAGACAATTACAATAATTATCAATAGGTACTTTGTACTGCAGTCATGTATAAATGTTATACATAATTAGATAGCTAATTTTTTTGTAAACAAACACATATAATGTATTCAATAATCAAACTCAATGCAAATGAAATAATACATTGAATCAAAACACACATAACAAAATACATATCTTTTTACACGAATAACATAATAAATATACTTAAACACAATTCATAAAAAAGAAAAATCAGTTTTGATACACAATAGCACTAAGGACCGTGTGGTCCGTGGGGATTAAGAATACAGAGTGTCACCACCCCTATTTATCCCGTGGGTGTCGTAAGAGCCAAGATACTTTGGACTAACATAAAAATATGGTATTAGATTTTGGTATGAAACTTTTTTCACATGATACGTATGAGGCTCTTCTTTTAAAAATGTTCAACATTCGATTTTCGACTTTCAATTGTTTTTTTATTCAACTTAGACGGGAAAGATAGTTACTTCGAAAATCCGAGTCATTTTTGAATACGAGTTCCGACGCGGAACTAACTCAGCAGAAACGGCTCGTGGGAGACCGCCCACACAGGTGAATAACGCCATATAATAACCATACGTTATCCTCCATACTAGATAGACCTTGCTGCAACGGACTACCATTTTTTCCTGATTTGGACAATTTTCCACGTGATAAAAAAATCTTCCCAGGAGGCAGTAAAAAATGCTTTCACTCAAATCTATATCCCCAGAATTCTATCGTAAAGGTATAAATATACTTCCTTTTATATGGTAGCAATGTATAGATAATGAGGGTAAATATTTTAATTAAATAAATGTATCATTTTAGAAAAAAAATCAATTATTCAGTACAAATCAGCAATTTCATACTTTAACCCCAAATATTATCGTGAAACTTTCCAGAGGCCCTTAATCTTACAGTCGACAACACAGTTCAAAGACCCTTTGTGACCAACAAACAGTGTTGCACGCGATGACACAGTCACACACTGTTCACTCACATTATCACTAACCGACACAACACGACTCGTTCCGGTAGCATGCGAATAATCACCAACTGTCACAGTAGGTAATAATTGCCTGTACGTGCCACCTAATAGCTGTTACTTCTCCATGAATTATGAAATTATTTGTCAATGGATAATTATGTTGTGTCTAATCGATGTGACTCTTTGTAAAGGTCGGCCATTGACCATGTAATTGTCGAACGCTATTGATAATAACCACGCCGTTTAGAGTTGTCCTATACTTCATTACAAATTAAAAAAAAACAATACCATAGACCATTGTCTATGGTATTGTCTTCTTTTAAAGTTAGGTGAGGTTAGGTTTTGATTACAATAAATATGATATAGAAACAACATACATAAAGTCACGCCTGTTTCATCGAAACAGTGATCAGAGTTCTAATAATTGTCCACGTTTTACCAAGTACATATTTGTCCTCATCAGATAAAACGGGCAAGAGCAGCTAGCTTACTGTTCAATTTCCATTTAATGGCAAACCGAATGAAACTAAGCTAATAACATATTAAGCTATATTATATAATATAATTATAACAACTCTTATAAATAGCTACCTATTAATAAACTATTTGTCTGTATGGTGACGGATTAAGAATACGGAGTGTCACCACCCCTATTTATCCCGAGGGTGTCGTAAGAGCCGACTAAGGGAGCAAACTACACAGGATAACAGCACTGCAGAGAGAAGGAAAACTTGACACAAACCCTATACCAACCCGTCTGGCCAGCGTGGTATAGTAGACCAAAGCCTTCTTTCTAAGGAGAGGCTTATGTCCAATATGACTATGACTATTGGGGGCTGTTGATGATGATGAATAAACTATTTGCAACATTTTTTCACAAAATGAACTCTTTTAATAATTATTTTAACTAATTTTTAAAAATGTTTAACTCTTTGTTTAGGTTTAGATACTATTAAAGCGTTTTTTTTGTTTTTCTTCTTTTCTAAGCAACAGTTAATTATCTTTTTCCTTAGGTTTGTTTTGTCATCAGCCTATGATAAGCGTGTAAATTTTCAAAATAATCGAAATCGTTTCTATATAAATACTTAATAAATACGGGTTTCACAATCATCAATCAATATATTTATCCCTCCTGATTAATTAATTTATTATTTTATTGTACCGAATTCATTTTAAAAGAGGCTAATAAACAAACATTTAAAATTAATCAAAAACTTACTTCGTTTAACTTCTCTGCACTTGTTCATAACTTTACTCATCTCTTTCATTTTGGTTTCTTCTCTTCTCTTCTTTTTCTCTTCTCGTAACTTATTGTAAATGGGAATGTTTGTTTGTTTTCTTTTTTACTATTTAACGAATAATCATTTTAATTTACAACTTGTGCGTGATGTGTACTATACTAAATTTAAATTGCTTTGCCACGAATACAAAGTGCAGCGTTATTTATTGTTCAATGACAGTCACAAGATCTTACGGGGAAGTTTTAATCATCTCTATATAATTATATACCTTTTAACATACCTTTGCATGGCTTGACGATTGGGTCAGATTTTACTCGTCGTGTTCACAGGCAGACCAGCGTCTTCTTAAAGTTTCTTCCATGATAGCTCATGATCGATCCTTTCTCGTCAGCAACTTCACCTAAAAAGTCGTCTTCTGGTTTAAACGTGATGGTGCGAGTAAAAAGCAAATATATAATAAACCTATGGCTGTCAACAGCTAGCCATACGCCTCTCAAAATGTGCACCACAGCCTGGTCCTGCACTTTCCACATCTTGGCTTATTCAGCTACCGTCTTAAGTTCTTCGTAGCTTCCTTTCTTTTACCGATTCGGGGTCTTCAGATTGTTGGCTGAACATCAGTTTTTTGGCAACTGTAACTAGCTCCTTACAACTTCAGAGTGCTTATTCTCTGAACGTATTCGGAAGTCCTCGATCCATAACCTGCTGCGCGACTTTTAGTATACTGACTAGCCCCGTGGTCAGTCTTCACAGCTATATTATACATGATGAACAATTAAACAAAGATTATTCTGTTTCAATATTCAATAAAAAGATTTTATTGTTGTTACACATATTGTTTAATAATATTAATAAAGAATATCTAACTGCAACTATTGTTTAGTACAATTGTTGTTAAGTGTATATACTTATTATTGCTTACTATTGCTTATTATTACCATTACACAATATGGTTTGCAACAATAATAATCTTGACTTACGAGTTAACTCTTTTTTAATAATAACTTAAGTTGTCATGTGTGGGCATCGTGTGTCGTCACATGTGTCGTCATGTGCATATGTAGGCAGACTCGACCAGAGTGTGAGCGTGTTAAGCAATTCTTTTGCTGTGAGTGAGTTCATCAGGGGTCCAACCACCCCCTTCTCCCTTATTTCGGTTGAACTTAAAGGCCAACAGCGCAGTTGCACTCATTTGCCTCTATGCCTTAAGAAATTTTTCATCCAAGATCTTGAAAATATGCTGAATATACATATAGCGGACCTAGGGCTCGATGTATAACCGTTGTCTGATTCTAATGATACATTGTTATATCGAACAATGTCGAACAATTACACGGTCCTGCCGCTGAACAATAGACCATCTTGTTTGTATAGATGATGCGCCGACATCTGGGACCTTGAGATGTGGTGCATATCTTGTATAAGCAGTTCGGTAAAGGTAGTATCATCATTCAATATTGTTATTGGAAAATAAACGCTAAACGCATATCAATCGTGTGTAGATCCTAAAAATTTTCACTACAACTCGTACTTTCACAATAATAAGTCCGTGAACTAGAACCCCATATTATATAGCCATCTAGGATTAATTAACAGTAGATCTTGAAAATTCAACAAATTTTTCATCGTATGTTACTGCCTTTAAATAAGAAATAAGGAATACTCACTTTGCCATATAGTTTATAAAAAAAAAACTAATCATAAGCAATTCAAAACACTCTTCATAACAGAGACGACGACCCCTCGAAGACAAGACAAAATCTTTTGTTACTTGTGAACCATCACCAAGTCTAATAATAAAGTTTTCTGTCAGAATCAGACCAACTACAACAAGTTTTGCTATGTGGCAACCACCAATGCTCAGCTCAAGCAGCAAAGTGGTGTATCAATTTCAAACCTAGTAAAACCGTTCTGTCAATGAAATCTATCGTAAAACCTCGATGATATCTTAAGAACAACAGTTTCAGGCAACTAACAAAACTTCATATCAACAGCATAATGCGGTTATCTGACAGCAAAATCCATGCACCATAGAGCATTTCTTAACAAGTCAGTTGAAAAATTCCAATACATTCCCACATAGGTACATTGTTCAAGTGATATAGACCGTATAAAATGTGTATAACCAAGGATTTACTTCTACAGCGACCTTAGCAGTAGCGGCATCAACAACTGCTGCCGCTCCAACTACCCGCCGTCTTAACCGAATCATCAGCCGCCGTCGACAGTCGACCACAACATCAACGACCACGGAACCAGCCAGCACTACGCCGTCAACGACTAAAGAAGATGAATATTACGATACACTTCCAGATGTTGGAGATACTGGTAAGTTGAAACTAAGAAGATATTAAATATGCTACTTACAAATGTGGGAGAGTCATGATTTGGTTCCGGCTTGACCGGTGTAAGGCCACAGCTTCACAAAAAACCGGTGTACACTCACTCACTCGTTGCATTTCACTGAGTGAGTGAGTTTACTAGAAGCCCAAACCTCTTAAATCTGGGGGGCACTTAAAGTCCAACAACGCGAGCGACGATGGGTTCGTTGACCTACTCGTTTGACCCTAAATAAAATAGGTACATAAAAATCCAAGTGTTGAAAAATAGTAACAAGTGTCATATACTTCGGCAGATGCGATTGAAGATCCAACACTACAAACAAAGAAACCTAAACCTTCTTTCAAAGTACAACGTCGTCCACTAATTTTGAAAGAGTCAGAAAGCGACCAAAACCCATCAGCAACCAACGAGGAAGAAAATAAAAGACAGAGTAAGAAGTATAGTGCGAGCATTAAACAAATTGAGCTAGATGACTTGGTGAAGAATGTTAAAGAAGAATCAACCACGGACAAATTCACGACTGTTGAAGGTAAGGGATAAAAACATTTTAATGTTGGATTAAAACGGAATACTCTGTGTATAGTTAGTATATTAATGAATAATAAAATATGTATTTTAACCACTGAAAAAAAGGAATGTTATGTTATTCTATATGTTGGAGCTTGGTGGTCTTGGAACTGGGAAAAGTCATCATTTGGATACGCTGTCAACTGGTTTACTAAATTACTATCCATCCTTTCAATAATATGGCCTAGCTCGTGAACACTTACCTGTCTTTTACCACCAACGTACATTTTCCATGGCTCTTTTGGTAGATGTAGATTTTACTCCTATTTTCTTAAAAAAATCAAGTATATCTAAATACATAGATATATTTGACTATTAGACACTTCACAAGCGTCTGAAGTGATAAATATCAGTTGACAGAGTACCCTGACGAGACTTGGTAGGTACGTAGTAAACTTCACTTTTATTTTACGGTTAGTTTAAGATGTGGTATAATCAACATCTTTATTAAGTGGTTTAAAATTGAAAACCAGAAGCACTTTTCATCATTATTTCTAAAAACAGAACTCAAACCTTCCCCTCGTCATCTGAGAAATTATATCAGTCATTATGTGCTCTCATTGTTTGCAATCTACAACATTTTTGCCAGCAAATGGTATTAAAACTACCACGAGAGTCACTCAAATTTTACGCACGCAGGTCTTATCTCTCAGTAATATGTACTTGCTTATATAGTTTGTCTTCTTCAAACAACGCCGTTACAAATTTAACTGCACTTTGTTCTTTCTTGTAAAAGTATCTTAATTCATCTCTTAACGATGTATTTTGAGAACTGTGAACATAAACCTTCTCAAACTGACATTAAACTTTACTATAATGCACGGCATTTGACTAACTCTTTCCAAACTACTAATTATCTTTCCAGATATTAGTCCAGAAACTGCAGTGGCAATAGCTGCTCACCAACTCATTACAGCACCCATACCAAGCTTAACTGACTCTGAAGATGATGATATCAAACCGACCAGAAACATTCAAACCACTGTCGAATACAAATATACTAGTCGAGAATATAATGAGTATACTAATACAGATAGCAAAACACCATCTTACGAGGATGATCAAAGCACACCTATTTACAAAACTAAGATATTAGGAAATGACGAAACTACAATGTACAAAACTCAAAATGATTTTGATTCTACAAAAGACTACAATTTTGATTCTACCAGAGCTTCCGACTTCGATATTCCAAAAACATCGTCCCAAAAATACATAACTACACCTGAATATAAAACTATCGATTATATTCACACAACTTTAGGTAATACTTATGCAGTTGATATTGATTCAGCAAAAATTTCTACCTATGATGTTCCAAAAGCAACAAATTCTCCCATCACAGTTAGCACAATCAGCAATCAGGATTACGGTCGATCAACTACCATTGATTATAACGAACCTGAATACGATTCTCCCAAAATTATTTCTACCACCTTCCCTTCCAAGTCATCTTCAACGAAATCTGTAGCAAATACCATAACAGGTCAATCTTTCAATACTGCCATTGATGACTCATACACTAACAACCCAATTGACTTCGCTTCAAGTGTCTTGAGTTACCTTCCAAAATCAGACTATCAATCCGATTCGGTAACTCAAAATTACGTTCGTAGCACTAATAATTTACCTGAAACGTCAACTGAATTCGTACCCAGGAATTCACCGTCTTTTGTAACAAACTTTGCTTCCACTACTTATTCAAACAGAGAAACATTTGACGATACTGTATTGGAAGAAAATTTACCCAGAAGTCGAATCTCAACTACTTTGACTCCTCCTCAAACTTCTAGGCAAGCTTTTGAGAGAACAACTGCCAGTCAAGGAAGTAATTCTCCGAGAACTGCTAGTTCTTTCTCTCCTAGGGCCACTGAAGCTACAAAGCTTAGGAATGACTTTAGATCTAATCTGGCCACAAATGCGGTGACTATTGGATATTCTGGTATCCAAAGAGGGACAAGTAGGTTTAGGAATGAGAAGTTGATACCAGTGCCAGTGGAAAACAGGGGATATACCGCTATAGGGTACACAAGATCCAGCCAAGCACCTTCGTACTACACCAGGGAATATTTGCTGGAATCACCGGTGACTAAGACTTACGATGGTAAGTAAATAACTAAGAGAAGGCGAAGAAAATATTGAACATAAAATTCTGAACTGAACCTGTCTTATTTAGTTCTGAAATAAATTCGGATCAATTAAGTGGGAATTAATGAATCACTCGTCTCCACACTTTGTCTTGAGCTTTAATGGTTTTAGTAAGTATACTTTACGTTAAGCATATTTGACTTTTTGGAAGATTTCATATTTTGTGATTATCATACCGTGGTTCACCTACCTTTTAGTTCTCAGGGTACTAACTGTAAGGATAAATTGCCTCCATTTTCAATGCACAACATTTTATCAAGTAAATTATCAAACTGTTCATCTTTAAGTGTGAGAGAGTATCCGCGATAATTTTGTAGTTTTGAACAAAACCAACCTGTCTGGCCTGCGTGGTACAGTAGGCCAAAACCTTCTTTCTATGGAGAGGCCTATATCCAGCAGTAGACTATTAAAGGTTGTTGATAAAATGTGATTATGATTAATATTAGATTATGATGTGTAACATCTTTTGTCTCTCTTTTCTGCAATCTAAAGGACTGATTTCATAATAAAAAAAACGTACGTGAGTAACAGGATCCAGGGGAATCACGTGCTATCTGATGAAATTAAATGAAATAAAATGGAATGATTTTTTTGCAAGAATGTAGTGTAATTTCACCGATGAGCATGCGTGGTACTAGAGTTGGCCGTCAGATGGTAGGCGAGTTGTCAGATGTTACACATTATGCATATAGGTAATGCACTTCTGCGTGCGAGTACAGTAAGGCTCTTTCGTTTTTATTCTGTTAGCTTGACTTTTTGTCTGTTTTGTAGCGTGAACGGCCAAATATTCGCCGCTGCCTAATGCGCTGAGTGTTGTGGGTTCGATCCCCTAATGGAACAACACTTTGTGTGATCCACAAATTGTTCTTCGGAGTCTGGGTATTCTTTGTGTCCGTTTCATGTATGTTTGTAAAGTCCCCCGTGACATAGAAAAAAAAAGAAAAAAGTATTTGCTCTGCTCAATGTTGCAGTACGTTTACAAGTATGCAAAGATGATAACTTCTTCTCTCAAATAAATCATATTCTCTTTTACAGAAGAATACCAGTACCTGCTGCCTATCACGACACCACAAACGCCGCCATCTTCTGCGACCAGAAAGGTCATCAGGAAGAAGATTCACCGTAAGATCTCGACCACACAACAACCGACTACAACCCCATCACCACCTACATCGACCACAACAGTTAGACCACGCAGGGTTTCCGCTAAACCTTTTGAAAAGGTTTCTAAAGAAAAGAAGACGACTAAAAAACCTATAGCCAATTACGATTATTATGACGACAGTGATGAAAAGATGGCTGTGAAGTATATGGAAGGTACAAAGGTGGTTATGCATGAAAATGGTAAGTTTTATTCTTTTATGTTTTATTCTCTTTCATGTTTCGAATAATTCAAAGAATAAGAACTCAAGATTCATTGAAAATTGAAGAAAAAGCATTTTTTAAATTTTATTTTAATTTTTTGTTAGCATTCCAACATACGAGTATAAATGCGATTAACATATGACATGACAGCTGATACAGTTTTTTACAGGTATTGATACTAATATTTATTTTTTCATGTTACAGGAACCATAGAATGCCTGGACATCGGCAACTTCCCACACCCGACGTCTTGCAAGAAATTCATATCATGTGCGCGTATAGAGAACGGTTCCTTACTAGGATGGGAGTACATCTGTCCCAAAGGGCTTAGTTTCGACCCTGTAGGAGGAATCTGTAATTGGTCTGCGGGATTAGGCTGCAACGAGAAAGATGCTTGAAGCGAACTTGTTATATACAAACAATTAAAAGGAAATCAAATTCACGATTGTATAGAACAGTAATTTTATTTTCAATCTGACTAGATATTATTTGAAAAACAAGTTATTTCACGATTTCATTGTTATAAAAAGGTGATGTAATTTTTTTATAATTTATGTTTGAATATCAACTTGATAAGGATTTAAATCTAAAAAGCATCATTATGACCCATGTAAATAAAATTCATTAATTTCATTATATTCGTCTACCATCTCTACTATTTTAAATTTTCATTATTTTACTTTTTTGTCATTATTTTATAATTAAATATTTACCTTATTTATCAAAATTTTATAAATCATAAGTATGTGATATTATTATTCTGTATCGTTGACTGAACAAAATTTATTTTAAAGCTTTTTATTAAAAATGTTTTTGAAGAGAGAACGTAAGTAAAACGATACTTAGACAGATATTGACAAAACAATAACAAAACGTCAATATGTCAAATATGTGTTTGTCATATGTTTTGTTTTTAAAAAATAACAGCAAAATAATGCAGATGTGCAATACATTGCGAGCGCTGTCATTCATTCTGACAGCATCTGTCAATATTGTAGCTCAATTTTGTCAGTGACTGACAACGAAAGACCTTTAGTTACTGACAAAATAAATAATCTCTTAAAAAGTTTGTTCTCCAATGTGTTATAATATACTATCTCTAATTAATAATTCTAAGTCAAAATGATACTTTTGTATCTTAATACGAATACTGCCAATATTATACTCGTAGCATAAGTTCAGATTCGAGTATGAAGGCAAAATAAAATCCGGAATGTAGCCCATGATGTGGCTTTATCATTTCAGAATGTGCCTTAATTATTTTACAATTAGTTTTAAGTTTATTGTGACAATAAAGATAATTTTATTGTGAACTTTGTTTTAGCTTATTTATTGCCCTTTTTCTTCCTGCGTGGAATTCACCTCGGATACCACCCATCGGTCGGATGGCTATGTCGGACTCGAACCGACCAAAAACCGTACGCCGTCTCGGATAAAAGTAGCCGGGGAACCAGGTGTATCCTAGAAAGGAAATCCCTGGTACCCCGACGTGCCTCGGGCCATCTACGGCGTGTAGATGACCCCTCCTGTGTGGGAACCCCTATGTCCCCTTTGTGCTCCGGAAAAGGCGCGCGTGCTCTCAGTGCGTCTCGTTACCACCCCGGCCTGCTTTTGCTAGGGTAACAGCTTGCCTGACCTACGGCCCCCAGGCCTCCGCTTATGGAGGTCGGAGATCGTTGAGCGATAACTTGCTCGCAGAAGGAGACGGCGGAGTTCCACGCACTCTCGCTTCGTACTATAGCGGCAATCAAGTTACCGAGCTAGAGAATTCGCACTACGATGGCCGCCACAATTCCGCGCCTCTGCTCAACCCACGCCGGACATTCTACCAGCGTGTGGAGCGCCGTGTCCACGGTCCGGCCATCACAGTGGTGGCACTCAGGCATTGGCTCTTTGCGGATCAGACACAGGTGATCTCCGAAGCATCCTTTCCCGGTGATCACCTGCGTCAACCGGTATGAGAGAGAGGGTTCCGTGATACCTTTCGAGCCAATTCTCCATAACGGATCTTACCGCCGCGATAACGGCGTGCCCAGCTTATTTATTGCGCTAGAAAGAACCACAAAAGATGTTATTACTACAAACCTACTGGCCCGGGGAATCACTACTAAAAATATTTTACCTTATTTATTTTTATATGTAAATTAAAGATATGCTTTGTCCTTTTCTCTGTCTCTGACAACATGTACCTTCGCAAAATCTTGTAATGCCGTACGGCAGCACACAAAATATAAAAAAAAACACAACGATTTTTTTAAATATTGTTAAGTAGTCAAAATCAAGTGGTTGTTAAATATAAACGAGCAGGAGGGCCACCTGATGGTAAGTGACCACCTCCTGCAACCTCCTCCTCAGACAACCGTAACTAAGAGTCACAAGTGTGTCACTGACACTGGCTTGGCCACCATCATGGATTTTAATTTTGATAACACAAAAATTTAGTCGCTAATTAGTCGAAAATTGTCGTGAAATATCAGAATATGTCGGTTCAAAAGTTATAAGCGTTTATAAGTGGTCTTGGGATCAGTCCAGTGTCAATGACACGTCGCAAGTGCGTTCGTGCCATCAGCATCATGAAACGTGATAGCAAAATCATTCCAGTGAGAAACCACATGAGCAACTATCTTTTCTCACACCTCTCCACGGATAAGATACAATTTATACAGAGAGTTTCATTTCCTATCCCAAATACTTAAGCCACATATTCTGCCCTTAATTTCTAGGCGATTTGCAAAATATGAACAAAATATATCCAGTAGTTTAGCCACAGGACTCATTTTTGTGTTTCGTAAATTGCAACATCATGTGTACATGCAGTCATAATACATTGACCTTAGGCGGCGATCAGCTGTATACGCGGCGCGGTAATCACACGTTGCCGCTTTTACTACACCCGAATCGAACGAAATATGTTGATTATTACGTCATCACGATGCAACACGCGTTTTTAATTAGTTCATCCAGTAAGGACAGTCAGTCGGCCCTTGGCCACCGGCGAGCTTATGCTATTCCGTATCCTTGTAGATGCGCTCACGACAAATAACCGTAATAATAATATTGTTGTTGTTTATGAGATACATATTTGTTTAGAGAAGTTTTCTTGTGGTAATAATTGTTTAGTCTTATTGCTTTCGTCATAATACACGGCAATGGTGTGAACAATTAATGTTATCGTGTGCGCAAGACTTCGTAATGTAAGGAGTCCTGCTAATTTTATTTTGAAAAGTCACTATTAGGTTCTGTGTGTAGTGTAGTGTGAAACTGAGTGCATTATCAGTCTTTTAATTTTATTGGGTTATCGATATCAACATCCATAATGCCGTGAGTGACCTTCACAGCGGCGGAATATCCTGCTATGATGTTAATTTATGGAAAACTCTATCAAAACGCATCTTTTGCTTTACGGACACGTATGGAGTCAATCGTGTATGTCCTACAGACTGCCGAATTTTTGTAAGGGCGGTACAAAGATTACGAGACAACCAAGGTAACTACTTTTTCAAGGAGTGACGCGTACTGCTGGGTCGGAAGCTAGTCGAGCATTCACGAAATAAACACGTGAATAAAATCGCATTCTTAAATATAAATAGATTTTTAAAAGCAAGTGAAGTGATTGGTAGGTAGGTAATAAGAATGTAAAGTTCGCTCGTCGCGGCGGCGGCGTCGTTTTGATGTCGCCGACATTGCGACGCTGCCGTGTAGGTACAGTTCACCGACTCATGTTATCAATGGTGTTCTAATTCGGAAATTATTTTATTGTATTTAGTTTGTTCTAAATTTGCATTTCTGTATTTTCGTACTAATTTTTTATTTTTTTATTTTAACCGACGTATATTGAACCGTGTTATCTGTTATTTCATTTTTTGTGATTTCTATACCGCCACAGTGTATACCTACCAGTAAGTTTCAGAGGAACAATAAATTTATTTACGTGAGTTAATCTCAGGTAACTAAAAATAACTATTTACGTAAATAAATATTAATGAAAGAAAATAAAACGGATTACGAGCTATGAACTAGGAATGGATTAAACTTCCAATCACCGGTGATAAATCATATGATTTTTAAGTCATATAATCACATCTGTGACTAATTACAAAACCACTACGACTTGTTATTATAATTAGGTACGCTGGCGCTAGAAAGATAGAAGAAAAGGTCGTTTGCTTTGATAAAAAAAAAATTGATTGATTTTATTGGTATTTATCTATGACTATGACCAAATCACAATCACAGGTGAAATCACCGTTTTAGACCAATCACTTCATCATAAGAATATGATTTAAAAGTAGCAACAATTTCCATGTATACTACGAACATATTCATGTGATATTAGTGAGATAATTATTCATGAATAATTTAATAATATAAGATTAATAGCAAGTACGCGCGACTTCGTTCGCGTGGAATTTGAAAAGCGCTGCCTTAGTGGGTTCAATTCCCAGGCAATTATTTTAGGATTATTAGAGAGCAAAAATTGCCCAGGATACTCCTTATATAGACAGCTACCTGGTACTAAAATATTATAAAAATAGCTCCAGCCGTTTCTGTAATAAAACAGACAGACAAAAAACATTGAAACTTTTGTGTGTAGGTATCGTGCAAATTACCGTGTAAACACGAAAAAAAACTATTATTTTGACATTACAAACAGATATTAGAATTTTATTTATTTGTATAAATGTATAGATAATTCAACCCAAGTTTTCTTTTCTGAATACTAGGGATCAACTTGGGTTTCTACTATAAACTCGACTGTCAATTTGTCCATTTTCTAAATCCAATTTGAAAACCTGGATTCAAAAACTAGATTCATTCAATCCGCCTAAAAAACCTATTACTTATACTTTACAAACAGCAACTTTAATTTTATTTATAGTGATGTATCAATGCTACAACACGGTCACAACTCATTGGAGGACCCAGCGCCCTCCTACGAGCTTTGAACGTGTTGTCACATTGACACTATTACCAAGACAATAATCCAGTTATATGAAAGCATATGTAACTAACCCATAGCGCGATTCAACAAATTCGGTACAACGCCATCTATCGAGCGTAGACGTGGCTTTCATCATTGTAACGTGACACCGGTAATCGAGTCTGCGACCCCACAAAATAAAAAGATGAAAGACGAAACAAAGCTTTATCGCATACACCCTTTAGTGATATGTAAATTGCACAAAGTTGGGCAATTTTTTTTTTTTTGGGCATCAATATAATTCTTAAAACACCTAGCAAGTTCTACAAAAAAATATTTAACTTAATATTTTTACTTTGTTACGATTTTATTATATGTACCTATATACATATAAACTTACCTTAAATATCAATTTTCTATAAATTATAAGTATGTGATATTATTATTCTGTTTCATTGACTGAATAAAATTTATTTG